ATACTAAAAAGTATACGTTTCAAAGTTTCAAAGTCAAACAGGAGTTTGATGGCACCAAATTTCTGCTTGATGGCAACCCCCTCAATATCTGATGCAAGTGAGTTTGTGGTACTAAATTATAAATGGGGCAGGAGATTATTTAGAGATGCCGAGTTCCGCTTCCCGATCAGCGTGTCCTTCATCATTCCAAAGTGGCAGTAGTTGCTTCTTAAATGTTCTTGACTGACTGAAGGATGTAAGTGTTTCAAAACTCTTGAATATTTTTAGAAGTAGCTGATCGGTCAGTGTATATCGTTGTCCAAAAGGCAGTATGATGGAATGATGGAATGAATGTCCTGTTATTTCTTACGTAATGCTCTACAGAACCTTTCGTTGTTTGCTGAAACGATCCACGTGTAGTTGCTTCCGATGATTACACTGCATCCAGTTCATGGTACCAGCCTGAAATGAATGTTAAATGTATCAGACTATGTGACGACCATTGAAGCCCCTAGAGGCCCATAGATATGTAGTAGCTAAGCGTGTGATGCACTCCGCCTATCCACGTAGGCTAAATATGCGATTCCGCTTACAGTTTTATCCTGCAAACCATTATGAGACGAACGGCGAATGAAATTCGTATTTTACGATGTACAACTCATTTGTAATTAAAAAAGAGTTGAAGATATAATTTCTAACTCAAAGAAAGGCCTATGTGCTTATAGTGATTGGCCTTAGCAATGTTGACGAGACTGTAAATAACTAAAAAAACTCTGTCCAACGAAATCTAATTTACAGTGTTTTTGGAATTAACAAAAGTTACTATTGTCGTAAAAACCGAAATAATTGTATCATGAAATTATTCATTCAAATAGTTTCCATTTACATCTGTTTTTTCTCTCTCATGCCTAAGGTCATGAGTCAACTATCTAATCTTCAAATCGTCTAAAGAAGCTTTATCTGATGTTGAGATTTGCGCACATCTGGATGACAACGAATCTTATAAACATGGATGGGCATACTGTAGAAATATCTAATCTTATAAATATGTTTATATCCAACATGTTTATTTCTAAATATCTGTTAAGCATCGTATTTCTTTCCTTTCTCCTTACACACTCCTTATATAAACATAAGAAAACCTAAGAATTATTCATTGTTGCAAAAATCCCATCTGTCGACACTCAGGTTCACACAAACGCTCTTCATTTATCTCTCCCAATCTACTAATCCTTACAAAATCTCATTATTCTACTGGCTTTACCCTGGAAGTCATTCTATTGTAATTGGAATTATTTGAACCTATCTTTACTGTATTTGGTATCCAGACGATAATAAAGGATAATCTGTTGTACGTTTCGAACACAAAACGAACCAATACACTGTAAGTCATTCTTTAAAATTATAACAGCTTCTACAACGAACAATAACAATCTACCTCACCTTCTTAACTCCCTTTCTTTTATTTTCTCACGACAACTATTACATCTCTATCGATATCAAGAATTTGTTTCTCGTTTATTAACAATGTTCATTTCATTCACTTTCCAGGAAAGTAAAGTGGTGTGCTTTGTGAAGGTGATCAACCGCCGCATCAGAAAGTAACAAACTGATTCCAGCCCCAAATTATTCAAAACTAATCCAGTATTGACCGGTTTCTTCCTCCTACTCCATGAACCTTTCAATCTAAATCCACCCCGTATAATTAGTTGCATTCAATCATTTTGGTTAGTGCAATTACATCCGGTAAACTTTCTCAAAACTGCTTTTGGATACGTTACCCGACGGAGTCCCAATGGATTCAATTTCTGAAATTTCTTTGATTCTGAAATCTTTCGTCGACTCTGAAATTCACTACCTAGTGAGATTCAAATACCTAAGAGGGTTCAAATTTTCTTTCAAATTTTTATAAATTTTTACATTTTTATACTACCCTCCCATCTTTCTGTTACTTTGGTTTTCAGTCTGTTATAGTCAAATGGTCTTTCTTACGTTTCTTATTGTTCGCTCTCCTACAGTAATCTTGTGTCATGACCAGTCTGTCGCTGATATCGCGAGTAGAAACAAAGGGACAATAATCTTTTTTTCTGAAAGCCAGACATTTTTGCTTTACATGCTTATATCGTCTTACATTTGCTCTAACAAATAACCCAACATCAATGGGTGCTCCATAAGGGTGCTAATTCCTGTAATCATAAAACGGTATAAGGACCCTCCCAGTCGAAGAAGCGGAGGATCCTCGGCACTAATCCATTTTTTCAAATGTGTTTCATTGAGGTCGGTTGGATATAAAGTATCGGGTGTGATTTGTCTTTTTTGTTCTTGTATATTCGTTATTAATTTGTTGTATCAATGTCATATTTGCAAGTTCGTTGTTGTATTAATAAATTTATCGTAGTAAAAGGTTTAATTACCCAAGTTTGAGGTACTACCAACTAAAGAAGCAGAAAGAACCCTCAGTTTTTGTCCCGACTGAAGAAAATCGGCGTCACACCCTATACTCCAGATGAACACCGAATGAGTTAATCTGATTTACAACTTTTGTGAAACCAGGAACAAAGCCAATTGTTATGTACACACCCACGCGACAAATTACAAATGTCCAACAATTTATTCATTGCAAAAAAAGTGAAGTAAGAGAACAAAATCCATTTTTAACGGTATGATTTCTGGTAACGAGCCCTTGCACCAGGGCCACCGAACTTTTTCGGTTCCCGGCGTCGCGGATCTGCCACCAATAAATTACGATCATACGATACCAACTGTTCTTTAAGCTCTTTCTTACTTTGTTCATCGACGAACTTCTGGTAATAAGCAACAATGGCTTTCGCTAAAGCTTGTCGGACAGCATAAATCTGCAAACATAGTATGCTTCATTCATCGGAACTGATGTGAAAATTATATAACTCATTCATATTATTCACTGACAAACATAAGTAAAATAATAGCAAAATGCTGTGAAATCATCCTTTTCTTACACTTCTTTTATTGCATCCCAAGCTGCAATGCATGTGACATAAAATGGAAGTACAAGGATGAAAACCACATTTATCCTTCCTTACAGGTAAAAACACCCACACTGCATAAAAATTGTAGTGGTGTTATACTCGGAGTATAGTGTTATACTTTGGACTGGAGTATGTAGTGGTGTTATACTTGAAGTTCAAGCTTGAAAAAGAACGAGGCCGTGACAGAAATGACAGGTTTCAAAACGCCCCAAAGACAAACGTAGTTTAGGAAGTCTACTTGTACTTCGATGAGGTCACATAAGTCGTCAAAACGAACAAGCTTATGTGATCATGAATTCACAAGAAATCAGGAGTTCAACATTCAATATTACACGTCAGGTAATACTCACGAATCTACTCTCTTCTACCTCAGAAAAATGAGAATGAAAATAACCTGAGCGACATGTCCACCACCTTTTACCCTTACTCTTATATCTACATCTTGATATCGTTCCTTGCCCAATATTAATAGTGGCTCCTGGAAAAATTTTTTTTTAAAAACATTAAACTGTAGCAAACAGTTGCCAAATAAATCACAAATAAAGGGTGTAGAAATAACAGGCAGAGATAAGAAAAGTTCAAATGCTCAGCTGCTCACAGTTCGAACACTATGAGTAAACTAATGATGGAGTCTAAAAACTTCTCTGTTCCCCTACCGTATACCTGAAGTTTGATACGCAAAATTTCCGGCTGTATATGCTCCAAAGGACGACCATTTACCTGAAACAACGGGTGATCAGGAGGCAGTGGAAAAAACCTTTCACTGTAGTGGAAGTTGAGAAATTCCACGTAATATTACATTATCTTTTCAGCCAAATAAACCAAATAATCATCGAATCCGAACAGACTAACAGTTAACTGCAAACAATAGGAATACCTTGATAAGACCGTGCCCTTTCTTACAATAAGCAACAGCAGTAGCGGTTTTCTTTCTTCCAAATACCTGCACAGACTGTGTAATAACCATGATTGAGAGTGCTGCAACAAAGGCTTTACAGCAGATTATAGCAAACTGACATACAGTAAAACGGAAAAGAGAGAGTAAAACGGTGCGGTGAACGAAAATCTCAGAGTAGAATTGTCCCCAATTTAATTCGTGAAATTTTATCAGTTCGGACGATTATTCTTTCTCAGTCCATCCTGCCATGTATTTTCAGAATACACAGTAGACGCTCACTAATACAACCGACCAAGATAATTCTCTCATCTTTTACATTCTTTCCGACTTAGAACATCGGTAGTTCTGAGATCAGTCAGTCTACGGAACGTAGCAATGCACATACATTTCATGGAATCATCAATACGATATGTAAGAGCATCATACAGAAAGGTGGAAACCAACTCAGTTTCCACGGAGAAACACTTGCCAGATGTCTGATTTCCTCCTTCTTAAGGGAAAGACTTCTCATTTCCTATCATTATTAACAAAAATAGTAAGGAAATTTATGGTTGTATACCATACAGCAAATCGTAAACCAGTCCCTCAGGGAGGAAATTCAACTCAAAAGAAAGCAATAAACATCCACTAGAACACACATCATATCAGATAAAAGTTAATGATAAACCGGAATGAGCTTCAGTACACGTAAAGTACAACTTGACCCATATTTCCGCTCCCTGTAGCCCGCTTTGCTTCGATTTCTTTTGCCGTTTAGATAAAGACCACCACCTCACTCCTCCAAGTCCCGCACTACCCCAACAGACTCATCGTTCGCTGAACTATATCACATACCTTTAACCTTTTCCTAACATAAAGCAGTAATTACTGATAGCAATCAATCGTTGTGAGAACCAAGCAAAATATAACATTCAAGGCACTTCTTTACTGACACTTTATCACGAAGAAGCTCATATACCCTAACAAGGTTGCGAGCTGTGCTGGCGTGGCATACCTCCGATAGGGTCTTCTACATCGGAAAAGTCTCAACTGAAGGGTCAGAGAAAGTGTGTCCAGGGGCAGGATGGACTCACTAGCCTCCCGACAACTATACTAGGAAAAGGACAACTTTGATACCAAATCTGGACAGAAGAGGTTTTTTAATCCTGTAAGACCATCCATCTAAGAGAAGGATGATGATGATGACAGCCTTGTTCGGAAACATCCTGTACGATCAAGCAGCCTTTTCCATGGAGAGCACTGCTTGCTCCATGCGGAGAGGACCCTGGAAAAGATGCCCTAACCAAAGCTGATCTCCATCTCCACCCGCTTGGGTGCGGCCAACAGTCATCCTCTGACGCGGTCGAACAAAGACAAAAAGACAAAGGCATACACCAAATCCCAAAGATGTGCACAAATTAGCACTCACGTGTTGGAACATCAAAACTGTGCTTGATAATGCGAATAATGGACGTCTTGAGCATTAATCTGCTCTAGTTGGTCAGGAACTATCACGATTCAACATCAACATTGCTGCTGTCAGTGAAATTCGTCTTCATGAAGACGGTAGTTTCAATGAACATGTTCCGGTTATGCACTCTAATAATCAGGAAGGCCCGAACCGTAAGTCACCTTTCGTTGGCCAACCTGAGTTGGCTCCATGGTTAAAAATTCCATCGCCTTCAAACTCGAAAATCTGCCAACAGGTCATTCCGAGCGTGTTATCTCCTTACCCCTCCCACTATACAATAAGCAACAAGTTTTTTTTCAGCATGTATGATCCAACTCTGCAAGCTAACCCTATGGAAAAAGTAGGATTCTATACCGACCTACGCCGTTTTATCCAAAAAGTTCCTCCGAATGAAACAGTCATAATCCTTGGTGACTTCAAATACTAGAGTTGCAGGAATTTCGAAGCCTGGAAAGGTGTATTAGGCAAGCATGGCATTGGAAACTACAACTACAACGGACGATTTCTGCTAGAGTTTTGTGCAGAGCAGCAACTCACCATCATAAACACTATCTTTCAGGAGAGACACAGTTTGAAGACAATCTACATGCATCCTCGATCCCAGCACTGGCATATCACTGACTCTGTCTTAGTGTGTCAGAGAACTCATGTGATGTCCAGTGCAGAACGACGAACAGACCACCCTTTGTACGATGTAAACTCAACCTGGGCTTTAAATCCAAACCTGAGAGAGGTAGAATTCCAAGAAGGAGACTCAAAGTTAATAATTTCCAAATACTCTGTGGGAAATAACTTCCAATGAATATTCAAACCAGATTTCAAAATCACTCTACAGATCCCTCTCCTAAAGTATTTCGGCAACATATTAAAACCAGCATCTTACAGTCTTCCGTGGAATCCTTAGGGTTCCCTGCAAAAAAAATAAAGACTGGTTTGATGAAAGTAATGAGCAGGAAATATTCATCTGTGCTCAGAT